CCACATAAAAATGACAATAATTTTATTTTTTTAGAACTAGTTTGGGAGGTCTTTTTGTAGAATGGTGTTTACTTTTCCTGTGCAGTATTCAATTTTCTTGGCAGTGCTTGAAGGGAGTCTGTCAGGATTAAATCATATATCCCTAGAAAAAATTCTTACAACACCTGACACCTTAGAATAGTTTCGGGTTTAATGTATATTCTTTGCATATAGGGCCTAATCCAAAGCTGTCGGCTGCATAGTGGCTCCGTCTAGACTAGACATTTGTCACGGGTTGGCCCATGTTTCAACAGTTCTGGTTTCATTCACTTCTGGAGTTCAGCACAGAGCCAGGAACAAGGTCCTGCTCACTTCATCCTCTAGTTCTTCACCTGAACTGCTGGGGCACAATATAATATTGATACTTTTTTTTTTTTACAAGAAAGAAGAAAAATTATTTCTAATTAAAATTAAATTTATAGAACTCTTAAGAATTTCATGTTTAAGTTGTGTGTTAGAAGTTTTTTTTTTTCCTTTCAAACAGCCTGAACCTGAACACCAATGTGCAAGTTTAATTTGGGCATCACAAGGAAGATTTTTGTTAACTATATTGAGATAATTAGAAATAACATGTTTAAGCTGGTTTTTGAGAGAATCTCTAATGTTTTTAGACTTACATTAATAATATGGAATAATTGTTCTGTGATAGTATTCAGGATTTTCAGATTATTGAGCCTTTTTTGGCCATTGGAGCTTCACAGTTATTCTCTTTCTTTTATTCAAGGGAGCTGCAAATATTTACATTTTAAAACACACTGATGATGATTGATTGTGGAAACTGCTTGTTTACCTGGAGTTTAGCATATGCATAAGCATTGCTTAGGTAGGCCTAATTTATTTAATGAGAATGTTCCAGAAAATTGCAATTTCTCATTGGTCCTTTAGAAATTGGACTTATAATTCATAAAAGTAATTTTATATTATAGATTTTTAGTCTAATTCATAATATGAACTGATAAACTTCCTAACTCATGTTTTTCTGTTCATAAAATCTGTCCATTACTAATTCACTTTTTGTTTCTAGTCCCTAGAAATGTAAGAAATTTTTGCAAGTGCTCCAGTTGGTTGGCTTTCTAATGAATTTTTGTCTTTACTTTAGACTACACCCTTAGCATTGTGTGTAAGAAAACCTAAAGGAAAACGGTTGCCTTGAGCAGTCAGATCAGGTACACTACTTAGTGTGCCTGTCTTCATATGCATTGTAGGTCTTCATATAGTTGACCAACACTAAAAAAACTACTAAATCATCCTGCTGGAAGAAGGAAACTGTTCATTTGGAAAGTTAAAAGCTTCTGTGATCAGTTTTGATTTTGGAATTTTGATGATACTTGAAAGAAGTTGTATTTTTGGCCCATCCTCTGGTCCCTATATATTTCTAGTGGCAACTTGTTTTCACCATTTGGAAAATGTGCATATGTGTGTATTCTAATACATGTATCACTAATATACACATATTAATTTCAACTTATCCAGCCCTATGAATCGTCTCTTTCTTGTTACATTCCTCTTTGTTAGCCATCTCTAAATTCTCTGTGTTTTTGAATTAATGTAGGTTTTATTCTATCGGTTCAAGTATTCAATGTATTTTATGTATATCAGCAGAGTTATGTATGTATATTCTGCAGAGGATGAAAAGCTTTTGAAATCTTTTTTATATTAAGTACAGTAGTTGAAATATTTTAAAAATCTGGTTGTGCTTAAATACATAACCACTACTTAGATACTTAGGAGATGGAAGTGGACAACTGAAGAACTGATAGACCTAGGGTCAGGACAAGCCAATGATTTATAAGTATAGATGAGCCAAAGTCCTACTATAAGATAAGGTAAAAAAAACACTGTTTCTCTGTTCCTACTTCTTAGTACAGCCTTGGGCAGTAGTGAAGGAAAAAGAAGAAGGGAAAAAAAGTATGTTTTGGATCAAAACTATGCAATCTCTTCACCGGTCTTTGGGAAGCAGTACGAGAAGTACCAAACCAATGATTTTGAGCTTGTCTATAAATTAGGCAGTATGCAGATTTTTCCTAAGTTTGTAGGTTAACAGCAGCCGCAGTCACCTAACAAAGATACCGGTTCCACTTGCACAAGGTTCCTTTATCTTGATTCTGTAACTACCGCATTCACCTTTTAAAATTCAGGATTACTTCCTACTTGAATTTTAATTCTCATATTGACACGTACGTGCCGGGCATCCTTTTTGTGTTCCATATGCACTGAAAGAGTCAGTTCAGTGTAGCCAAAACACCCAGAAATAAAAATAGACAGAGGAATGCACAGATAAGTACCACATGAAGTAAGACTGGAATTCTTTCAGTTAGCATCACAACACTCTACAGTAAGGGTAAAACTGTGTTACCTCAGAAAAGAAATATCTAAAAAAAAATACTATCTCCAAAAGTACAAGTAGTCTAGAAACTAATTGGTAAATTTTGTAGACTAATACTAGTTCAAATTGTTGCAAGCACCTTTAGCTGTTACAAAATAATCCTAGAGCCCTGTGATTCTGTAAAATTATCACTGATTTTCTCTGTGCTTTTTAGGACTTTGAAATTCTGCCAATCAAACGTATAATTTATGGGTTTGGTTACTTGCATATCCCTACTCCGCTTAGCACATCTCTACTCTGCTCTACATTCTTTACTTTGCATCTATGAAAGCCCATAAAAGTCACTTGGGACTACGAAAGTACAGGGGTAAGAGGGAATTTGACCTCATGGTTCTTGAGCACCGCTAAGGAATGTCCTGTTTAAAGCAGCTGGAAAGAATTGTGAACAAACTGATGTTACAGGTAGGGCGACAGATGCAACCTGAAACATTCAGAAATTTCAGACACAGGAAAGGCAAATCCTTTCTCTTTACTGAAACACAGCTTTGCTTTCTGGAAGAGGAAACAGATAACCTCTTCTGCAGAAGCCAAGATGTCCAAAGGGTTTATGTGGCTTGCTAACCACTGAGATATGGACTGCCAACAAAAACATTTTGCCCTTATACCAATAACAAACAAAGAGTTGCTGGAGGCAGCAGCTATTGCCAGCACTTGAATAAAAGAAAACTTTGGCAACTAACCATGTATCAAAATAAATTGTGAAATAAGAAAATGCCTTCTTTTCAGCACCTACTCAAATATCTTATTTTAGATTGCGCCAAAAATGAAGGGTAGATGATAGTGACATTAATTCTGACTGACAATTTCATGGGAAAATCTAGGAAGACATCTCCCCCCAGATCATTCATATGGAGAACATATTCCAGCTGAGCTTAACTAGTTGCCATATGTCACTCCTAGTCCACTGATAAATAGCTCCCAGTACATGTATCAGGATTAGTGTCCTTCAGTGTATTATGGCCTGCAAAAGTGACCATGGTAACTTCTAACTCAGTGTGCAAGATGCATTTATTGTTAGAAAAGGTTAAACAGATTTTTGTCATTGCTACTAACAGAACCAAGACTGTTGTATAAAAGCAAACTACGGTATTGATAGAGTTTACCGTGATGTTCGGAACGTATTCTGTCCTATTATAAAATCAGAGAATGTCACCAGCAGGTGGAGCGTGGAAGGGGAGCAATGTGCCTTTGGTCCCTCAGTATATCACCTAGGGAGGAAAAAGTACTTCTTACATGCTAGCTATTTCAATTTGTTAAGGCTGTTACTGAGAGGGAGGAAACAAATGCTCAAAATAATATTATAAAATAAATAGAGGTTAGAATTGTTCTGTGATTGTAGGATGGCACAATCTTGAATAATTATTTAAGTGATGTGTTTGCTAATGTGATGTGTTTTAAATGTGCTGAGCTATTTCCATTAATGGCAGATCTCAGACCATCAGAGTCATTTCCCTCTCCTTCCTTCTACTGACATCTGTCTTAACTTTCTTTCATTATCTGTCACCATCCTATGTGGAGCAGGAGGGTATCCTCCTTCACAGTCACTCTCTTTAACCTTCTGCCTGGATTTGCTTTCTTCAAAGACTGGTTCTCTGAGGCTTCCTTTTCCTGAATTTTTAGTTTATTCCCTCAGCAATCAGTTTCAATAACATTTAAGCTGGAAAGAAATGAATTAGACTTTCTTCAGAGTTAGAAAAAGTGGCACTATCTGACTTTCATACTTTCATTTTGGATGTGGGAATACGTCCAGATCAGTGCAGAGTTTTGCATGAAGGTGATGGGAAGACTATTTTCTTATATTCTCCTTCTGAATATATGACGTTTTTGTGTACACATTTATGCATATCTCTGAAGTGCTTTCTAGTAGAGCACGTGAGTAGAAGATTTAATATTTTAACAATTTTCTATGTTTGGCAGACAGAATTAGGGCTTGTATTCAGTACAGATCAAAAAGCAGAAATCTGATTTTAACGTGATGAGCACTGAAATTCAGTTATCAATAATCCTGTTGATGCAGGATTTATGTAACTAGTGCAGAGAAGAGCTAGTTCAGTGACAGAGTGTTCATCCAGGGGTTGAAGATCATACTCTGCCCTCCCATTGCATCTCTCAAGGCCTTAGTATGTCCTATCTCCACAGCATGGAAAAGTCCATCAGGAATGCCACAACTGGGTCTTCTGGAAGAAATTCATGCTCAGCATTTCACTTTTACATCTCTTTGATTAAAGCTTTGTTAATATCTTCTTTTATTTTTTGCTAATTAATCCATTCTGTCTTGAAAAATTAAGCTAGGCTCTTGCACACCAAAACCTCTTAATGTAGGACACAACACTGTTCCTGTGATATTGCAGGAATCCCAAAGACCTGGAGTCCAAGAGCTTTTGACAGGAGCTGAAAATGCAGAACTGTGAGTATTCACCTTAGCCTCATCCTCCAGCTACAAGAGTGACGGTGATCAGAGAAGAAAAATTGCCTTTCTTTTACTCTTTTTTTACTCCATCTGTCATTGTAATAAGAAAAGAATTAAGGTGATTTTATTCTGTGCTTAAGGTTTTCTCTCCTGACCCCTTCATAGGTGGGAGATTGGGAAATGGAGCACCTGCAGTCTTACCTGTGGGGTTGGTTTACAGACACGAAAGGTCTTCTGTTCTCATCTACTGTCGAGAGAGACTAATGAGAGCATGATTTTGGCAGATGAACTGTGCTCTAAACCTAAGCCATCCCTTGTGCAAGGCTGTAACCGCTTTGACTGCCCGCCCTCCTGGTATCCTACAGAATGGCAAGAGGTAAGAATGTATGTATAATCTCATTTTGTGAGTGCTAAGAGTAGTCATTACACACATATCAGTGATCAGAGGGTTGGAGCATCTCTCCTATGAAGATGGGCTGGAGACCTGGAGTAGGGAAGGCTTCAGAAAGACCTTATAGCAGCCTTACAGTACATGAATGATGCCAGCAAAAAAGCTCTGAAGAGGGACTTTTGACGTGGACATGTGGTCATAGGAAAAAGGGTAATGGATTAAAACTGAAGGAGGGTAGATTTAGTTTAGGAATTAGGATGAAGTTCTTCAGTGTGAGGTGGTGAGGCACTGGAACAGTTTGCCTGGAGGAGATGTGGCTGCTCCCTTCCCAGAAGTGTTCCAGGCCAGGTTGGATGTAGCTTTGAGCAAACTGGTCTAGTGGAAGCTGTCTCTGCACATAGTGGTGGGGGTGCGTGTGGGATGGGCCAGGGTGGAACTAGATGATCATTAAGGTCCCTTCCAACCCAAACCATTCTATGATTCTATGATTTTGCTTTATCCCATCAAGAGGAATCATAAATCATTCTGGTGAGCCATTAAAAACTGCAAAGTATGCTTTTTGCTCTTAAAAAAAATACATGAATATTTTCAGAGGTAAATAATGAATATAGCTATTTTTAATGCAAAGTTGCTGGAAAATCTTAACAGCTGGCTATAGATTCCAAACAAAAACATCTGGAATATGTTGATCAGCTGCAGTGAGCAGATTTGGGTTAGCAATGTCAAGGTTTCTAGGAATACTAAACTAGAAGCATCAAGGATAAAAGGATCTGTAAAGCAGTTTGAGTATTCCATATATTCTTAAATAATTAATTTAGTTTAGGAAAAGAAACACTCCTCATTCTTTGGAGTCACAAATGTATATTAAACACTTCTCTTTGAGAGATAGATGCCTTATTACACTAATGATGAAAATTACTGTCTACATAATGGGTCTGTACAAGGCTTTTTGTCTTTACAAAGCAATCTGAAATTAATTCTCTGCCATCTTGTTGCAAATGAAAATACTTGTGTAATTCAAAAGACTTAAAGATACTTTTTTATATGGTTATAATGCTGCATAGGAAGAAAGGACTGCTTTCTACAACTGCTGCACTGTTGTCAACACTAAAGGAAAACTTTGCAGTGTGGTGTAGGTGCAACCAAAGGCCTGTTTGAATCTTCATTTCTGAGAGATGGAAGGCTTTATCCCATCTTATGAAGACTTGACATATGCCTACCCAGTGTCTGTCTATAAAATCTGGTCTTTACTTAAAAACCAGGGAGATGTTAATGTACTCACCTAAAGAAGCTGATAAGTCCGTGAAGCTGGAACAGCTCTGGGTTTGGGCAAGCAACCCAGTAACAAAAATTTATGTTAGTCTGATGTTCTGGCAATGCTAGATAACTATCCTATGGCTTTAGTCTTGTGTTTAAAGCAATTCAGTCATAGTTCATGCTTTAATTTGTCTACTGATATTCACACACACATATATACTTACCTGTACTTTTGAAAAGTTCTAGGCTCTTATCATGGCTAGGCTTCGCGAACGAAGATTTGGGAAGGGCACTACCCACATTTGTTACAAGTGCGTTGGTGGCTAAAAAGGCCAATAGGAGATAGACATGTCCGGTTGCAAAAGGCACAGCAGAAAGACTCCTTAGGAGGTATATTCTGCAAGGCACGATTCTTTCTGCGTTGTCTTTTCTCCTCAAGAGTGATCCTGCGTGCTTTCTCAAAAGCATCAGCAGCGTTATAGATGGTGTGTCTCCAGACCTCCCGATTGGAGGCCAGAGTAGACCAGCTATGGTGATCAATATGGCCAAGGCTGAGATGTTGTTTCAGGGAGTCCTTGTAATCTTCTCTTCGGGGCTCCTCTCTTGCGCCAACCAGTGGCAAGTTCACCATAAAGCAGGATCTTAGGGAGGCGGTGATCTTTCATCCTGGAGACGTGCCCTGCCCAACGCAGCTGTGTTCTCAGCAACATGGCCTCAATACCTGTGATTGCTGCTTGTTCTAGAACAGATGTATTGGTCACATAATCTGACCAGTGTGGATGTTTAGGATTGTGCGGAGACAGCGTTGATGGAAGCGTTCTAGGAGACGTAGGTGGTGGTGGTAGATAACCCATGATTCAGAACCGTATAAGAGAGTAGACAGCACTATGGCTCTGTAAACACTGATCTTTGTACTTTTCTTCAGGTGTTTATTTCGACAAACAAATAGTATTCTTCTAGTGCATCTCATAATAACATAATCAAGTCAAGCATTTCAAAATTAGGATATGCTAGAAGCCTGTGCTTGTTAAAATCCTGTAATTGCCACAGTCCTTACAGAAAGCAATTTTCTGTAAGTTTATTTGAACAGTCAGAAGAGATATAACATGCTGAAAAATTGACTTTCTGCTAAGTGACCATTAGCTATAGGCCACTCTAGAACAGTATCAAAATTGTTTCTGCTAGAGCTATCTCCAGACAGGTTTTGTCAAGATTTGAATAACTTCCTCAGCAGTGTAAACAGGCATATTTTTGCCTGTTTAAAGTCATTTTTGTGATTGCTCAAGGGCTCTCAAATGCTGTCTTTTTGAAAGGTGTAGCAGATCTTAGTGAGGAGGAAGCTTGATTAAGTATAAAGTATTTAACAACTATATTAATCAGCTGTCTTCTATGGGCTGAGAGAGAACCTGTGCTGTAATTCGTTGCTGTAGCATAACAAAGGTCATGTTGTAGCTCTTCTGCCTTACTTCAACAGACTTTTCAGGCTGGCCAGCTGTGAACATACTCGGCACTGAATCTTTCTTGTGCTTACCTTTCAACAGAAGAAAACAGCACAAAAATGTGCTTCTCTACCTACTGTCTTCTGCCTCTGTTTAGTGCGTACAGCAAGAAAAAACCCTCAAATCTGTCAAAATCAATTTCCATTCTCACAGTGTTTAAGGACATCTGTTATCTTTCTTTGCATCACCAACATCTGTACAGTTACTCCCACCCTGTAGGAAAGCCAAGCCTTTCAGCTCAGTCTCGCACAGATTTCCAATGGGTGACGTCCATGTGAAAACCTGCACCATCAGGACTGTGCATTGCACTTAGGGATTATTGCAGGTGATGGCTTCTGAGATGTGTGAGAGAAAAAAAACATTTGGACAGGATGTGAGTGGCTGAGACATCTTCTGGAGGTGAGTTCCAGTCATGCAGCAGAGCTGCCGTGCAACCCTCCAGCAGAAGAAACCCTGTAGGATTTCTTTCCTTGGATTAAGGGATGCACAACATCCCATCTCCCCAGGGTCCTACGAGGGTACCCCCAAACAGGGAGATGAAGGGCCCTGCATCAAGGTGCCTTCATTGCCCTAGGGGAAGTCCTTTAAAGCTTCATTGACATGAAAGGGTGACATCTGTTCTCCACACAGCCTGGTTTCAAACCATTTCTTTGGTTTCATCTATGGAGTTCGTTGTGCTTTTCAGGGCACCTCCTCATACTGGTTTCATGCAAACAAACAAAGAATCAAAACATTTAAACTGTAAGCAGTGTTTTCTAAGGCCTTTTATGCTTGTAAGGAAGGACTATCTGAATTAAATGCTATTTGAAGCCGCAGTGTTCCTGGCAGATAAATACATGATGATTATCAGAGTTGTAACATTCCAAACAATTTTTAAAACATCTCTTTACAGATTGCAGACTATTTATTTTAATACAGTTCTGTTTTTTTAACAAAATCGATTAGAATGTTTATCTCATTTTCAGTAGTGTGCTTCTGGAGCAAGGAGCTGCTGTCTTTTAAGGAAAATGTGTATCCTAAATCACAGAATCACAGAATATGCTGAGTTGGAACAGACCCACAAGGATCATTGAGTCCAACCCTTAGCCCTGCACAGAACCATCCCCAAGGGTCATATCAAAATGCTTCTTGAACTCTGTCAGGCTTGGTGCTGTGACCACTTTCCTGGAGAGCGTGTTCCAGTGCCCAACCACCCTATGGGTGAAGAACGTTTTCCTAATATCCTGATATGGCCCTGACACAACTTCGGGCCATTCCCTTGGATCCTGTCACTGGTCACCACAGAGGAGAGATCAGTACCTGCCCCTCCTCTTCCCATCATAAGGAAGTTGTGACTGCAATGAGGTCAGTCTCCTCCAGGCTGAACACACCAAGTGACCTCAGCCGCTCCTCATACAGCTTTCCCTCAAGGTCCTTCAACATCTTCCTTGTCCTCCTTTGGACACTCTCTAAGAAGTTAATATCTTTCCTATATTGGGGTGCCCAAAACTTCTCGCAGTATTCAAGGTGAGGCCACCCCAGTGCAGAGCAGAGTGGGACAATCCCCTCCCTCGACCGACTGGCGATGCTTTGCCTTATGTCCCCAGGCTGCCAGGGCACTGCTGACTCATATTCAACTTGCCAACAACCAGGACCCCCAGATCCCTTTCCACAGCACTGCCTTCAAGCATCTCATCGACCAGTCTGTACGAACATCTGGGGTTGCCCCATCCCAGGTGCAGCATCCCATACTTTCCCTTATTTAACTTCATATGGTTGGTGATTGCCCACTCCTCTGATTTGTTGAGGCCTCTCTCCAGAGCCTCCCTGCCTTCAAGGGAGTCAACAGCTCCTCCCATGTCATTTGACCTTGCTTCCACTGGGCATACACCTTCCTTTTTTGCCTTAACTCCAAGAGAAGATTCCTGTTCAGCCAAACTGTCCTTCTGCCTCGCCTGCTTGATTTCTAACACTTAGGAATTGCTGCTCATGTGCCCTTAGGAGGTGATGTTTGAAAAGTGACCAGCATTGATGGACCCTAACACCTTCAAAAACATTTTTCCGTGGGACCTTACTTGCTAATTCCTTGAGCAGCCTGAAGTCTGCTCTCCTTATGTCCAGAGCTGAGGTTTTGCTGGCACTTTTCCTCCTGGCAACAGAGATTTTAAACTCCATCACTTCATGGTCACTGTGGCCAAGACGGCTACCAATCTCCACTTTGCTCACAAGATCCACTCTGTTGACAGGCAGCAGATCAAGGAGGGCATCTTTCCATGTCAACTCCCTTAGGACTTGTTTCATAAAGTTGTCATCCAGGTTCTTTAGGAATCTTCTGGCCGGGTTTGTACCAGCTGTGTGATGTTCCCAGTTGATTTCTGGCAAGTTGAAGTCCCCCATAAGGGCAAGGGCAGTTGACTTGGAAGTCTCCCTTAGTTTCTCAAATAATAATTCATTGCCATCATTGTCCTGACTGGGTCTATAGCAGACTTCCATGATGATATCCACATTATTTGTTTGCCCCTTGATTCTTACCCAGAGGCTCTCAACTGTGCCATTGCCCACTGTGACCTCCATACATTCTAACCCTTCTATTACATACAGTGCCGCCCCTCCACCTCTTCTGCCCTACCTATCCCTCCTGAAGCGTCTGTAATCATCCAGAAGGGCACTCCAGTCACAGGTCTCATCCCACCAGGTTCCACTTACACCAATGGTGTCAAATCTCTGACACTGGGCCAAAGCTTCGAGCTCCTCTTGTTTGTTCTTCATACTGCATCTGTCAGCGTAGAAACATTTCAGGTGTGGTACGTTGTAGCCAAAACCTTGTGAGGCAGATTGAGGGATTCCCTAAGTGCTGGTTTTCTCAGGTTTTGGCACACCATCCCATCGCTCATCACTGGTGAGCCTGGTTTTGTCCCCTTCCCCCTCCGAGCTAGGTTAAAGCTCTGTCAACAAGCCTCGCTGGCTCCTGTGCTAGAACTCTGTTTCCTCTCTGAGATAGGAGCATGCTGTCAGGTGTCAGTAGACCAGGTGTTGAGTAGATCATCCCATAGGCAACAAATCCAAAATTTTTCCAATCTCATCAACCTCAGAGGCACTAATTGACCTGATGGATCTGTCTATTCCTATCAATATTATACCTTGTTATTGGAAGGATCTAGGAAATCACTGCCAGTGCTCCTGATCCCTCTACCAATTTTCCCAGGGCCCTGCGCTAAGGCTTCTTTTTGTTATTTCGTCACTGCCAGTTTGAACAACCAATAGCCGACAGTAATTAGAGGGCCTTATTGGACTAGAGGGTTTTCCAGTAATGTCCCTTACCTGAGCCTCTGGGAGACAGCAAACTTCCCTGTGAGTTGGGTCTGGTCTGCATATCAGGCCCTCTGTTCCCCTTAGTAGGGAGTCTGCTATTACAACTACCCTTCCTTTCCTCTTAACAGAGGAGGTCGTGATGTGGGGTGCTGGTGGTGTTGCTTTAGGAGGCCCCTCTATCCCAGAAGGACCTTTGCCCACCTCATCAGTTGTCTGGCCTTCTTGTACCTGTTCTAGAAGGCACACATCCTACCTTTCAAATTTTAGGAAGGAGGAGGAACCTTCCTCCTGGTACATGCAGTGACCAGCTTCCAGCCTTCACCTTTAACAGACCTATGACTAACATTCTTTGGCTAATTACCCTGTAGGGTTCTAAGTCCATCTGCTTCTCCACTACAAATGAGGTTCAAGACTCCCCAAAGTCTCGAGGCTGTAGCATATCTGAATATAATCAGTCTCTCTCTTGCTCATTTGCTCCAATACTACAAAGCCTGTTCACTTCCTCCTGTAGCTCCTTCACCCACAGCACACCTTCTGCAAAATAACTGTTTGTCTACCCCAGCCTCATAAGGAGGCATCAGGCACTCCTGGCACCTGTGACCTGGAGGGCTGCATTTGCCTCAGCAGGTCTGACTGGCTGGAGAGCTCTGAGACAGCTGGTTCAGTGACTCCTGCAGCTACAGGGCATTGAGCTCTATGGCATGTCAACACCATAGTGAGGAAGCTGAAAGACTTACTAGTGTAAGACTTAGGCTTTCTGCCTCTATTGGCTGCCCCTGGGTATTCAGGCTAGACTAAAGTTCATGCAGCTCTCTATATAAGAGAGAAGTGTCTTTCTGACTGCAAGATTTTCTAAAACACTCCTTTTAAACTGTTTAAGTTTTAATACTTCTTCATGTGGTTGTCTGCTTGTCATGCATAATTGCCATGTTGCAAGCTATAAGCAACTCCTGGTCATGTCAGTGTAGTGCAGTAGTGCAAGCTCCCCCTTTCTTTTTCTAGGAGAAGGGAGAAAAGAAGTTGAGCTGGCTGGACTGAGCAGAACTAGGAGCCTGTTAGCAGCCTCAGGAAAGAGATCTTTAGGAAAAAGGACTGAGCAACAAACTTTGCAAAAAACAATCAGGAAAGCTACTAAATTTGCTTATTAAAAATTTCCTGCCCTGCTTGAGTAGAAAATGGACACAGAGAGGTATATTTACATTAAAGAGAGAGAAGAGGTGTATTCTCTGGATATTAATCATCCCAGCTTATTCATCTACTGCTGGACGAGACTTTTCCACTCTCTCTGACACTCTTAGTATTACAGTCAGAGCTCAGATGGAGATATTAGCGTGTAGATCCTCACATCACATGCAAATGTCTCATTTTCCAGTTGGTGGTTACAGGAAAGGACAGATTTTCCACCTCCATACTGCGATGCTGCCCCATTGTTTCCATGTCTTTTGTACAAAACAGAACATTTCAGAAATACTAAAGCAGTTTTTCTAAATATTAGCTTCCACTTTCCAAAATATTTTTGTCATTTTTAAAAGCAGTCTACTTTGATGTCTCTAGGATTTTTTTTTATGTTTTCTATTTGGCCAAAACCACATGTTGATTTCTACCCAAATTCAAAAGTAATTTTTGCTGCAAGTTGCCATGCTGCAAGTGTGATGTAAAGTGGCTCATTCTTTTCTCACAGTGTTCGCAGACATGTGGCGATGGTGTCCAGAAGCGAGATACATTTTGTAAGCAGCGCCTGGCAGATGGGAGCTTATTAGAGCTGCCAGAAACCTTCTGCTCCATGCCAAGGACAGTTACCCAACAAGTCTGCAAAAATGAAGATTGTCCCAATGAGTGGCTGCTCTCTGACTGGACACAGGTATGCTATTCATATGCGTGAGTATTGTACAATTCTTGGAGATTAAGTTCCTAAGTAATTTGGGATAGAGGAGCCAAATGAGGTCAGATGGCACAAAGCATGTTATGCACAGTTTTGTCCTGTAATCTGTCCTTGTTGGGGTTGTGATCACTAGCTCCATGATCCTCTGTGGTGATTGCCTCCACAGATGTGCTTTAGCTATCCAACCACACTATTAAGACCTACCTTCTGGTGTGGAAAGAAGCCATGCTCAACACAATAAATCCCTGTCTCTGTCCATGCCTGTGCTTATGTTCATCCAAGGCATCAGTGAAGAGTAATCTTTATTATCCCAGGCTAAATGCTTTTTGTTCCCAAAGCCTTCAATTTAAGAATGGCAAAACAAACTCACTTTGCTGAAGTCTCTTGCACTTCCCCAGGCTCCCTTTCAGGCCTCATATGGTTTAAGAGTATTTCCCTTTATATTTATGACAGTAAATATTATGACAGACTACAAATATAATTTGACTTCATAATGCCAACAAGCACGAAAATCATTCCACATCTTGCAGTCTCTGCCACCACTCTTCTAGTTCTCTTTCATGGAAGATAGTGGAAATTGTCCTAACTGTAAGAGAAATGCCAGACATCTCATAGAGGTGTCCCACCTGCTCTCTTCTTATGATGATCTCTCTTGACATTTCACTCAAATTACTGGATGTTTTCCTGAAGTCTTCTGCTAGGAGGCATATAGCCATTCTGACAGTGAAGATGGTAATTATAGGGGTCTACCCATTTTCTAACCCTTTTTACAGGCTGCTGCCTGGGTCTCGGTGCAAAGGCATTGCTGCATTCTCACTTTCTTTGATGCTGTATACATAAATATGAGATATAATAGCCATTATGAAGTCCACTGAACAATGGCCACCTGTGCATCAAGTACCATGATCTGGTACTAGAGGGTTTATACTTCTCTATGTAAGCCATGTGTTGTAACTACTGGGCCGAGGTAATTGGTTACTGGAACACTCATCTCTTTATTATTTCTAACAGATTTGCAACAGCAAAGCTCAAAGATTAAGCTTAGGCCAGATTTTAGCAGATGCGAGTGCAACTGAACTGCAATTCAGTGGGTCTGCACTTGGGTACAAAAAGGCGTTTTTCCAACCAGCAGACAGAGACAGGTAGAAACAAAGTGCAAAGACTGGCTTTGATCTGTAGCACAGTACCATTAAAACAAGGGACATCATCTGACAGAAAAAATTGCTAAAGGAAGCATGTGAAGAATCAAGGCCTTACAGGACAGAAAATAGCTGATATTTCATCTCCCTACTGTGTCTGCACTGGTCAGATGCTGCTCTGCTTTATTCTACTGCAGCATTTTGAAAAATGTAGCTGTTCTGTACTATGGTATGAGTATGCAATGTGGATATGAGAGATGAGGGGGCTGTGTGTGACAAGGAGCACTCTTTTCATTTTTCCTAATGTTTCTCATCCTGCTCCTAGTGTTCAGTGAGCTGTGGAGAAGGCACACAGAGTCGAAATGCCATTTGCAGAAAACCACTGAAACCCGGGGGATTTGTTATCATCAATTCCTCACTCTGCCTGCCTTTGCCATTGACATCCTTGATCAGGCCCTGTGTACTAGGCCCCTGTGCAAGTAAGTGGAAAAGATGCTTGGCAGTGTCAGTCTTTCACTAAGAAATCTGTGCTATTACCTGCTCCATAACTTTCTTTTGCACTAGTGCTAGTCTTCCGGAGACAAACCAGTGGAGGAGAGCTACAAATTCCACTATTAGAGCTGGATGTGAGTAAATGTACTGGAAAAGAACTACCAGTTTCTGGCAGAACTGACTCAAAATTCTGACCCAAATCTAGATCTAAATCTCATAGCTGGACTGTAGAGCCTCAGAGATACACCACAGCGTTCTGAGAGCAGGTGCAAATAAACTCTGCTAGAACAGCTGCAAGGAAAGTGGCTGGTGAGGGATTTTGCTGTAGATCATTTAAAGACATATTATTTCATTATGTCTCTAAGAATCCTCTATCCTTCATTAGAAACCTGGGGTTTCTAATGAACCATGCAACACAAGTTAGATGTATTTTATGTCGGTATTTTGTGAATTTGTTGTTGCCCTTCACAAGACCAGTAGTCCCCCTGTATGCTCTTCCCTAGTTTGCAGTAAGCCATCTGGATATGTGAAAGTTAGTGTAGTTTCATCTTGACTCTGAAACTGCTAAATGTTACGTATGTAGGGAGGAAAGAAGATCTGACATTTAGAGCCAATGCTTGGACCAAATCTTGTGTGGTATTTACTAAAAATATACCTATGCAGATTTATTTAGTGCTTCACAATAAAGATCTCTTATGTAGAGATCTGGAACGTGGAAGGACACACTGAACTAGTGCACTTTAAAAACATTTACCATGTTTTTAAGCCTAGTCCAGAGAGTTTTGTTCTGTTCACCATTACTCCTTGAGGCAGCAAGACTTTCAATCTTCCTTACCATTGTGAGCTGTAAGATCATGTTGCCTTTGAAGATTTGGATGGTAAACACTTGTCTATTCAGTGCAGTTTCTAAGCAACAGTCTTCATTTAAGTACTTTAACAACAAGAACTACATTTCCACTCAAGTTTTCTCTCTCTCATAAAGCTTTTGTCCCTGGTTCTTTGGTTTCTGCATATGCTCTGGGCAGGGCAACTTTTGTGTTCCTAAAGTGTGCCTTGTTATTCCTCTTGATTGTTCTAATCTAATGTCCAGCGGCTGGTGGCCAGTTTTTCCCATTATTGTTTAATGGGTCAAATGCTGCCAGCACCAATGTAAACTACTTGTTTTGTTTAATGGTATCACATACTAATAATATTAATGATATTTCAGGGCACAACAGGCCAGCTCATAGTCAAAGCCCCCATATTATGGCTGTAAGGAAAGTTTACATCCAGACAAGGAAGCAGAAGAAACTACACTTTATTGTGGGTGGGTATGCCTACCTGCTGCCCAAAACTTCTGTTGTTCTCCGATGCCCTGCAAGGAGGTTCAGAAAATCAATGATCACTTGGGAGAAGGATGACAAGAGGCTCCTCAGCTCAGCTCACATCACCGTTGCACCCTATGGGTACATGACAATCCATCGCTTGAAGCCTTCAGACTCTGGGACATACACCTGCACAGCAGGGCCAGCTCGGGAGAATTTCATGATTAAACTAATTGGAAGCAACAAGAATATAATTGCTGGGCAGCCAACTGGTATTAGGGAGGAAGAGGCCATGAGAAAGGCCAGTTTAAATGAAGCCTTGAGAACAGAGGAGAAACATCTCAATGGGATTTTCTTCAATGGTAGCAATGCTGAAAAGCGAAGGCACCTTGCTAACCGCAGCAGATGGTATGACAATATTGTCTCAAGGCTGCTACAGCACAGGGGCTGGCCAGGGGAAAATCTGGAGTCCTGGGAAGCCCAGGAGTCCATGGAGAGAAATGCATCCTCAGAAGAGAACCATAGCCAGAACCATAGCCTGCCATTTACTATGATTACAGAGCAGAAACGCTTGGATGATATCATAAGGAATTTGTCTCAACAGCCAGAGGAGCTTAAAGATATGTACACTGAGCAGCTTGTTGTGCAGCTGGCTCACGAGGTTTTCGAGAGCCACTTGGAGCACCAGGAATTTGTCCTCAAAGCATCAAGGCGAAAAGTTGATTCAGTCTCAGTGGAGTACCCTTTCCACAGACAAGTTTCTGGATTTACCAGATCCCTGAGGACATCATCTGCTGAAGTGTTTCTTCCCACTTCTGTAGACCTGGCTAATGGCTTGCACAGACCTCATCAAAAGCCTGCCATTCTCCGGAAGATTACAGCAGCACAACAGCTTTCTGCTTCAGAGGTTGTTACCCACCTGGGACAGACAGTGGTTCTAGCAAGTGGCACACTCAGCGTGCTGCTTCACTGCGAAGCAGTGGGAAATCCAAAGCCCACCATCAGCTGGGCTAAGAATGGAGAGGAGGTGAAATACAATGATAGGTAAAACAAAACCCATTATTTAATTTTTAAGAAAATAATTGATATTTTGACTGTTTGGTTTCCATGTTTTACTGCCTGTCAGTCCCATGGACAAAACCAAATTTTGCTGTAGTCTGTCTTCATAGCAGAAAGAAGGGCAAATGCATGCACAGTGGTAAACAGGGCACTGTAACTCTTCAGGAAGGTGTGGATACTGGGTCAGACTGGTGTGACAAACAGGAACTTCTGACTGAGTAAGCAAAGGAATTGTAAAGCACTAAAACAGGTAAGTGCTTTATGCAGTGAACAGAGCCCTCCATGTCTGGAGACTGGGAGCCTTGTTTTATTTTCCCATCTAAAGGTAGAGATTTTTGCTATGAAGATTGATATTCTTATGTAATACCAACATGAAAGATATTGGTTGAATATGAAAGATACAAAAATTGATTGTTGCTTATTACTAGTATCCTATGTTGGAGATACAAATTGCGTTTCTCACAGTGCTCCAACAGGGTCTGTCTGCCATGGTTGTGGTAGCAGAAGACAGAGAAAGTGAGGCCTCTGGCTTCCACACATACATCCATGCATAAAACTGTCCCAGGATAAACCTCAAGGGGCATTACCATCACCATTGGCGTGTTCTGATGGAGTGTGGAAACTGTGGAACCATACTTCCTGGCTGTTTGCAGCTCTGCTGTCATCTCAACACACTGATCTTTTAGCATTAGTCTTCTGATGTGCATAGGTGAATCCTCATCTGTTTAAACTCCAGACTTCTGGCCCCAGGTGTAGCCAGAGAACTTGAGTAACAGAACGCTTTTATCTGTGTACCACGGAAAGTATACTGTTTTTCTTTCAGGTAGCCTTTGCTTTCCTATTACTCCACATTATTCATTTGTGTGCAAGAGCACACAAAAAGACATTATTTTCAGTGCTTGTTATATGCCTAACTGTGCTGATAAAAAATTTTTGTCATGTGTATACTTGGAATTTTATATTTTGGTTCTGTTCTGTGAGAAAGTGATATGTAAGAACGGGCAGAGAGTGTAACAGTAATATTGACCAACATGGTACAACAAAGCTGTCCAGGGATCTCGTAGCCTCTCTTTCCGCACAAGATACTGACCTCAGCTAAGACATCTGCATGGGGTCACTTTTTTACTATGACAACTGAATCACTCCAAAAATAATTGTTTTCTCTAATGATCTGAATTTCCTGGTTCTTGCCTCTCTGTCTGAAGGCTAGTAAGTATATTAGATTTCGCACACCAAAAAACAGTAACTTTTGAAAGGGGGAGAGGTCACTAAGAACAAGAATGTATCTCTGGTGGAAATCATATGCACTCATAATCAAGACCTGGACATATTCCTGTGAAAATATCTTTATGCCACCCCGAAAAAAAGCTTCAATTTTCACTGCCAGTGGTTATATCTCATTGGAATTGTGACATTAAGGGATTTTTGTTTTCTCTACTTGAAATGACTGTGACTTCTGTGGTATGCATGAAAGGGAAGGCAGATTACATAAAGTCCACATGTGCTTGATGCTGGACACTACACTCAAGAGAAAATGGCGAGTTTATTTCATACCATATAAACTGTGATTGTGTTGCAAGAGGTAGATTCATTTAGCTGAAATAAAACAGTCTTTTTATTTCTCAAATTTTAGTTCAAATTTTTTTATATGTGGTTTTACAATTTCTTTTCAACCAGTTTTTTCCATTCAGTTTGGCTGAAATAGCATTAAATGCTGTGTTCTGTTTCTGAATTGTCAGGCCATTCTGTCTGTGCTCAAAATTTCTATCAGAAAGACTCAGGAAAATATAATTTCTTTGCCAGCTAGTAGCATTTGACAATTCTTCTTTAAATGTTGAGGCAGTTTCCACTTTATGAACTTCCTTCTGTACTCTTCATTTATGGTTCTTCAGGTTGGTGAGTGGGGAGGAAATGACCGTGCTCTGAGTTTTAGATGTACTCACCACCTGTAAGTTTGGAGGTAACAGAAGTTTAGAAATCACGGTGCATAAAAAAGTTGGGCTGTGGATTTTGTGTTGGGTTTTTTAACAGCAGTATTCTCTTTTTGGCTGAGATTGCTCTTGCTGTCAGCCAGTCAGCTGTGTCAATGAAAGCTGCAGTTTAAGGAGTCTCACAGTGTGCTGCTGTAAACAGCAAGGCCATGTGCATGCAGTGGTGTTTGGTGCCTAAGCTGTCTTTCGCTCTGCAGTTTGTCTTCTTCATACTTTGTCAGCCACTGAATGGAAAAGAGTAACCAGTTTTCCAGCCCGCCTCTGTCTTAATGGGGATAAGAAAACTAATGTGGGCTTCCCCATACCAGTATCAAAGAGAGACACTTTTGTTGAGGAAGGCCAGAGAGTAGTGCTGAAGTTTCTCAGATCATGCCCTACTAAATATACTGAAGTTCCAGAAGTACTTGGTTTGTGTTGTGATTTTTTAGAGTGTAGGCTGGTTGTTTTAGGTTGGGTGATAGGTATCTCTATTGTACATACAAAACACTGAGATAAAGGCACACGCTTTACTGCATTGTGGCCATGGATTTTGTCTAGATCAGTGATGTCCAGTAATGATGATCACGGTATGGCTCTGTTCCCACTGCCTCACTCCATGAACTGTTTCATCCATTTAAAACTATGACTCCTACTGCGTAACTGCACTTGCAAAAATTAATTTCTTTAGGTTTAGTCTCAGTACCATCACAAAAATATATAACACAGGCCCCAAAAAAGTGTTGTTTTTCAGTTACTCAGTGGAATGAAAATATATGATACAAAAAGCTGCAGCACTTGAAAATATCTTCAGTTTCAGTAAAAGATTCCTGACTCGTGTCTGCATATTCAGCCTGAGTGCATATTTAACATGAGTGTCCGTACGCTCTCCTAGGGTTAAACTGTCAAGTTTACACTAGCATGGGTTCTGAGTGCCATTTCAGAACCTGATAATATATGTACCAAGAGTCTATGGACTCTGTATATGATGGAAAACATTGTGTTTTGAAGAATATTCAGATTTACTTCCTTAGGAATCAGTTTTAAAAGTGAAAAATCTCTGAGGAATTTATGCATGGTTTAATAAGCCTTCCAAGTATGCTGTGGACATGAAGCAGAATGTAAATAGTAGGTGATACAGACTTAGGTGTTTGTGAGTTGCTATCTGAATTAGTCACTGATACATTTCCTGTAAAATACATTTTTGTCTTGGAGACAATGCAGTGTGGAGCAACTGAGATGAAATTGAATAAACATTAAGCTGTATTATTTTAAGTCCATAAATGAGATTCTGAAGACGTGCTGGTGACAGAAAGAATTGCTACAGCTGGTATTTTTTTCACCACTGACAAGCAACTCAATACATAACAAAAATAGCAGTCTATGAGCAAATAGGGAAATCAGCCAAAATAATTCTATATAAAGAGGTATAAGAAAAGATCTGGTTCCAAGAAAAGTAGCTATGCCAAATTGTGACACACAAATAACAGAAAGAAGTATTGAAAAGAAGAGGATATTAGTTTGCTTCTGGAGAAGTACATTAAAACTTGGGTTTAAAAGGTAGGAAGATGGAGCTGTGTTGGAATTTATTTTTTTTAAAAAGGCAAGTATCTGACTGGCATATTCCTATTTCTGAAAATATTTGTGCTGGATCTTGAGGTAACTTAAGCTGACAAAGAGAGATTGACATCAGCAGAGGTGATAACAACAAACAATTATGCAACGTTGTGTTTTACAAGATGTAATGTTAGGCAAGCTCTTTCCTCAACTTGAAGATGACAGAAACATTTATTGAAATATTTTTAGGGGGCTTGTAGGCATTAGTTTGATGTAGGACTGGAAGATCAGCCTAAATAGGGAGAATGTACACGACTTTTAAATGTTACAGACCTGTATCATTTGAGACAACTTCTGAAACTCTAATGGATTTCATGTACTGATTGAACCAGTCAGTGTTAAACTAAAAAATTTACATATGAGATCCTGATGCATGCTGTGGTGGTTTGGGCTAGGCCTTCCTTGGTGACCAGTTTGTAACCAAGGAAGGGTCCAGATTTACCCAGTATTCCCTACGATTTTTACGTAAGCCAGACTATAAGAAGAGAGGAGGAGAGGCCTTCACTCTCTTTCCTTCCGGCGGCTTGGAGGTGCAGGTTCCCTGCTGTTGAGTCTGCCGTGTTGGGGAGCGAGGCCTGGCTAGGCCTTGCCGACCTTGGGAGACAGAGGTTGCCGGCGATCGTTCCGGAGCGACTCTCGGTTGTCCCAGGAGAGTAGTGAGATATCTTCTTTGCTAACTCTTTTGTTCTTTAGTTACTAGATCTCGGGCTACTGATTGGGATATATATATATATATATTTTATTATAGTTTTGTTCTTTTTTCCCCTTCCCCTTTCCCTTGTGAAATTGTATATAAGTGTAAATATATTTATATATATAAGTTTGGTTGTCCTCTCTCTCGTTTTCGGGTTTTTCTTAGTTTTTTTCTCCCTCTTCTCCCTGAGGTTTTTTTTGTTGGGGGGGGGGGGGGCTTCTGGTGGTAAGGTTTGGAGACTTGGCAGGGAGCCAGCTTCAAACCATATCACATGCTAACACTAGTTTTTTAAGTTAAAAAATTGATAGTTTTTGTCACTGTTAGAAGTGACTAACTAGAAATCAGCCCTGTTTATGGCTAAGAGGTTAAGAAAAAGATCCTTGGCAATGGAAGTGGGAAGGGAATTATTTCAACCGATGGTGGGGTTTTGGCTGTGCAAGCATAAATGCAATTTAAAAAGTATTAATGTTTTGCAAATATGCATTTTTCTAGGCATTTACAAAACTTGGTTAACAATGGGCAGCTCTTTTATTTATAGTGGGTTTTTTATTATTACTCACAAAATGATGAAAAATAAAATCATTTTAATTCTGGATATTTTTCCTGTGACAGATTTTGCTGGGTGGCCCTAATCTGGTTTGTTTTAGAGATCTACCACCCCCAGCATTGTGCAAAATCAAGTATCTGCTTCTTTTTGGTCCATAAGA